CATGGGGTAGATGCTGACTATGTTGCCCAGTGCTGGTACCAAAGTCACACAGACCAAGGCATTGTCTTAGGTATCAAATGCTGCTGGTGCTGAGCTCTGAGAGTCACTGGGAAGTCATTCAAGGTCCTCCTGCATGCTCAGTCCAGCTGGCTCCTGCATTCCACCCATTACAGTGTGTGAGGTTTGGCAGAGTTTGGTTCTCTGTAAAACAGCATCCAATGTCAGCGGTCAAAGGTCCCCTAACCACCAATCTGATGATCTGGCTCCATGAGACCCTTTGACCTCCAGGCAGCTGTGAGCCACTTCTTGGACAATCCAAGAAAAGCTTTTGAATTTCTGGTCTTGGCTGGAGCGAGTAAGTATTTCAGTCTGTATGGGAGGAGGTGACCTTCAAAACTAATTGGACACACAAAGGACCTAAGCAAAAGAGCCTCATCTGGGCTAAATAATGCATAGGAGGTTTGACTTTGGCTCAGAGGGAAATTGAATTAATGTACAGTGATAACATCTCAGTGAACTAATCAAGATAATTGCCATATTCTTGATTTAAACAAATCCATTAATAAGAATTTCCGGATTCTGAAGCAGACTAACAGCAACTGCTAAGAAACTTTGTAAAGGCTGGTAGCAATCTTTTTCAAGTCAAGTTGAAAAGCAGCAACAACAAAGCAGCAAGTAGTCACACAGCATCCTTTGTCTTTGACTGGAGATATTGAACAACAAGAAGTCGTTTCCCTGGCTGAGTTTCCAGATCAACTTCCTTTGCTGCTGATTATCACTGTTCAATGGGAAGGCAAGTCTTTAATCCAGTTACTGGACAAGTTGAGCTGCATTGCATTAACTGACAGTGAATGTCAAGCCCTCTGCAGAGGCAGAGAAGGTCTATATAATGCTAAAACCCTCAAAGAAGTTGTAGACAGGCCTTTGGGGACAGGCTAATTGCTGCACGGAGCTGAGTTTCACTCTTAAACAAAATGGGAAACTGCACACCATTATACACTGAACCTTACTCAGCACTAAACCAAATAAACCAGGATTGTTTGAGCAGGCTTTGGTGTAGGTTGTGTGAAAGGAAGAGCATTAAGTGCTGTGAGCAAGTCTGCCACTGCCTGAAGAGAGCACCGGTCTACTCCTTTTCCCCACAGAAATGAAGGGACAATGTGCCAGCCAGCTTGAAGCCTTGGAGGACCTGGATTCCCTAATGGGCCCTGGAGACAGACCTTCCATACTGCATCAGTGTATCCTGCCTCCTTCCCTCCTCTCCAGTCACACCAATGTGCCTATATGCCCCAGCTCTTTGCAGCCTTATGATAAAAGGCTGAGAAATGACGCGGTAAGAACAGCAGCTGGAGGAGAATCAGAGATGCTGGCTATGTTGGTTGGAACTAGAGGTTCTTTAAAGTCCCTTCCAACTCAAACCATTTTATGATACTATGCTTCCATGACATACATGTACTGTCACAACTCTTTCATGTTGAGTGTCTGGTTTATGGTTCTCTGTAGATGGTCAGGTAAAGGTAAATCTTGTAAGGATGTTCTTCATGGGGCCACTGGTGTGGTGTAAACTTGCCAGCTGGATTTATATTTACTCCTAACTTTTTAAGCAGCGGTGTTCAGCTTGCCCTGGCCCATAAACAAGCACTATGTGCTGTGAGAAATATGAAGCTTTTTCTCAGAGTCAGATTTGCTACCTTTATTTCTTTGGCCATAAGCAAAACAGAAATATGAACTTCACCCTTCCCCTTAGCCATGCTTGTAAACTACTCAGAGCACCTTCCAGCCACTCATGTTCACAGGATTTCTCTAAATCACTTAAACTCCCCCAATGTACATTTCCTGATGTTCTGATAGAGAAACCAATAACCTGAAGGTAGTTAATTTGATTTGGTTTACACCATCTTCTTCAGCTGCTTGGATATCTAGGAACTTAGACTTCATCCTGCCATGCCTGCACTCATTCCCGCAGCTTGTGCTTGAGTCATGCAAATTTTCTGTCTGGTGAGAACATATTTTAAGAAAGGCATCAGAGTCCTGATCTAAGACACAAAGAAATAGAGAATATATTGCTTTGGTCACTCTACCAGTTCGGTCATCTCAGCCTTACCAAATCACACCCTCCTGTGTGAAGTCTCTAGCTTTGCTTTCCAGTCCCTTACCCTTCTCAAACCTTTCTCTGCTAGAGTCCCTCTGTAGGTGACAGTTTTGGCTGACATGTTCTGATTTAGATACTTCCCAGTCTCCTTCATGCTGAGATAAGTAGATCAAGTCTTTTTAGTTCTCCCCATGAATGTGTTTTTGTAGAGCTTTCCTGCCCAGTCCTCACTTTTCACTGTCCTTCACTGCAAACATTAGAACTGACAGTATTAGTCACATCAATCAGGGATCAATTAGCTTCTTACTATCCACTACAAGTGGAGTGCAATGAATAAATCTATTCATTTGGTTTGTCCATCCAAGCAACAGTTAGACAGATTTGCCATGGAATTATCCTGAGGATCACACTGAATGACTTGATGCCTTGCTCACTACAACTCCTGAGAGCCACTGCTTAGTCCAGTTACATGTACCCTGGCAGCTGACTGCGTAAGAACATATTTTACTTAAATGAAACCTACTTCATCAAGCAATCTAAATATCTCACCTTTATTTATTAACCTGCTCATTTTATGTGCCTGATGGTTTTCACAGGTTACACATGCAAAACCTGGATAGAATCAGTTCCTGCAAATTCCCTCATCTGCTTTCCAAGTCCCTAGTGGACAGATCAGGATAGGATAGGATAGGACAGCGTGAAGAGCAATACTCTCCAATTCGACAAGGAAGATTTACGCTGAGCATATAAAAAAACCTTTCTAACACTAACAATAATGTAAATACATTATCATCAACAATATTTATAAATAACTTGAACGACTTTGATAGAATCCATCTGACCAAACTGTAGACATATGCAATGTAAACACCTGTATCAGAACTCATCATTCTGTACTGACTTTACGGAGAGAAACTTTCAGAATACAACTTGTCTCATCGCATCCTAAAGTAGACACCTGACATAACTCATAAGAAACTCACCTTGAAAGTGCCTGTTTCTCTCCATCGCCCATAGAGGGAGGCTGAGGTAACTAATTCAGATAAAGACTTTTACCCTGTAGTTTTATAAAGTTGCATCAGAAGCTGTCAGGAACAGCTGAATAGAGATAACTGATCACAGGTCTGGATGAGGTATCTCTGAAGACACATTCCCAATTCTATTTGCAGTGATGCTGTGCTATCATATAGTGCTGACTTGCTCCAGTCAAGATTTCCATAGTCTAACCACTGGAGAATACTGTCTTCCATTTAGCTCTAAAAAGCTTTCTTATGACTCTTCTGAAGTGCATAAAAGGACCAGAATGATGACTTTCACAAATGCACTGTTTTGTTGGACAGCAAGAAATAATGGATCACTGTTATAAATATATCCACAGAGTAAGTTGGATTTGAGCTTCTGTCTCGTTTTATCTCCTTTGTATTTTCAGTCACACTTTAAAATACAAGATTATGTTTGAGGTATAAATCTGACCATTATTAGCTGTAATGTTTAGTTTGCTTCACTGTCTGTGTCTACATCTGTTTTCAAGCACAGGAACTATTGGGTTGTTTGCAAAAAGAAAATACCTCCTTGATTTAGCACAATGGTCCTGACAATATAGCTGGCTTCCACTCCTATAGAGAAAAACACCCTCTTTTTCCTCCCTAAAGCCTCCCTCAAGCAAATTCAATGTAAGAGATGGAAGGGTATTAACTTGGATTCACTAAGGAATATTGCTATAGTAATTGCAAGCAGAACATTGATGGAATGCAAATAACATTTCAAAAGAGTCATCACCATCAATTCTTTTCAAGGCAGGAGCAGTAACAATGAGTATTAAGCAAAGAAATTTGAAACTGGGCCTGGAACATTTTAAAGAAAGAACCAAAGCAACTGCATATCAACACACGGATATGTGGGTTTAGCCAGTTTTCCTTCCCTGAATCTTTTTTTTAACAACTTTTTTTCTTTGTAATCTTGGGAACTGTCTATTCTAGCCAAATTGGATTCTTACAATGGGACTATTATTATGGCAGCTGAACAATTCCATGTAGCCATTCAAACCATATGGGAAATTATGCACTTAAAGCAGCATTTCAAAGAGGCTAGACTTGTAAATAATGAAACTAAGGAAGAGGGTGGGGAAAGGGTTCTCAACAGCAGGTTGGATTTGCAGACCACCCTTCTAGATTCCCCTCATTCAGTTATCTGTCTTGTATTTGGTATCAGAAATGTGTTGTCTTCGTGGCATTTATAAGCATGGAATTGCTAACAGTAGTAGAGAAAAGAAGTACAAATCTTTGAGTCACTGACATCTCTGGGTTTTTCAACTCATCCTGTCTTCTCTCCACTGAAAAAAACTCTTTGGGGCAGGGATGGTCTTGAACAGTTCCAAGACTACTTTTAAAGCTTAGTGAGGCAAATTACAATAATAGGCATTGAACAGTGCTTTAATTACAGAATCATTTCCAGAGCAAGCTGTCACTAGTAATTGCCAGTTGTCATTCTACATTAGACATTCAAACAAGAACAAAAAAGACACTGTAGCACAGGAAGTAGGTAAAAACCTGAGAAAAAGAGGATCTGATGGAACTTTCACACTTCCAAGGCTTTCAAAGTCAAGAAAAATTCTCTGATATGCAACCTAAATCCCTATTCCTGACTACAGTTAAGGAGAACTGTGTGTCCAAATTACTTAGGAAAACTCAGCAGAAACTCTGTCTGACTCTCAACTTGGTAGATGGAGCTTATTCAAGCTCTAATGCACTTACTGCCAGTATCTAGTGTTTGTGTGAAATCTAATATTCTCTGTTCCGGCCATTTTATTTCAACAATAATTTTGATCAGGGAATTAAATTCTACCAAGCTTACATGCTTCAGAGAACACAGAATGAAATTGTCAGCCTAATATTCATAATATACTTACTCATAAAATGTTGTCCAGCCATTTTCGTTGCTTTTAGTGGCAAGGAGACCAGAGTTGCCATGGTAAGTCATCATGGCTACTTCATGCCCCTGTGTTGTTACACTCTTGAGTGCACTATTGGTGCCAATTGTCACCCAGTAGACTTGGCCATCAGGCACCACCAGCCAGAGGGGCATCCCTGTGGAATCTCTTCGGATATTGACCAAGTTGCCATTATTGTCAGTGATCAGGGTTATATCTCCATCTCCAGAATAAGTAAAATTGTAAAGATAATCTCCAGTGGTAAGGCTCTGAGTATAAAGGTGCTTCCCACTGGTGTCAAACAAGTAGAGTTCCTGGTCTATGGGTGAGGATAACTCATAGAGATTTTGAGTGTTGAGGAATGGCTTGTTTTTCCGAATAAAGCGGATTCGGATATTTCCAAGATCAGCCACATACAGCTCCCCATCTGCACACACCGCAAGGGAAGATGGTGCATTGAGTTTGGCATCCTTGGCATAGCCATCATCCCCTGAAAAGCAGTCACAGTTAGCATCATTCTTGCAGTCACAGCTGCTTGGTGCACCAGCGACGAGAGAAATCTCTCCATTGGTGGTGACCTGCCTGATGCGGTTGATCTTCTTCTCATCAGTCTCAGCAATATACAGGACCCCGTTATGTGAGACAGCCAGGGCAGTGGCAGACTCCAGTGTAGCATGGATTGCCACCTTGCTAAGGAGAAAGTGATCCATGCCTGGCACCTGGCAATGCATGGGCCTCCCTGCCACGATGCGCACTTGGTGGTTCTCAGAGATCTGTAACACAACGTTATTGTCGAGGACGTAGAGTGAGTTATCCATGGGATTGACTGCCAGATCCGTGGGCCATTCTAGACGAACCTTAACGGTAAAACAACACAAGAGAATTTTTATAGCAAGATGTTTTTCCACTGCATGATTGCTATAAATCAATCACAATGAGGATGTTTCAACATGGATTAAAGGGAGAATGGGTAAAAAGAAACACAACTCACAACTAATTTTTACTGCTTGATAGGGTGGCCATACAGGACATAACCTGATGTGAGTGAGCAGACTTAGCTCCTGGTCAGAGGAAGCAGACACATGGGGACACCCACACTCTGCAATGGAGCAGTGTGATGGACAGAGGCAAATCATTCTATGATTTCCCCTCTCCTGTGGTTTTTGTATTGATGGAACCTGGACCTGATAGCAGTGACCTGGGACTGCGAAATTTGCTGTGTGAAGTGCTATGAAATCAGACGCACAAAACAATGATTCTTTTACTAAAGGATTTTCCACACAAATGGTTGAAGTCCTCTGGGTAAATGACAAGGAGGGATAGACACAAAACTGGCAGCTGTGCCAGCATGTGTGGATATCTAAGTTATAATCACTGATTTTCTGCTTTATGCTGCAAAAGTGCAAAATAGCAATTCACAAGAAATTTAGGCAATTTTGATTCATGGAGTAAAATACTTGTGTCTTCACAGTGATTTTCACAATTTGTATGAGCATAATGGAAGAATGAGTTCAATAGTAACACATCACAGTTCTGCACTGATAATCTATACACACAAATGAACTGAAACAGTGACTGGTAACACCCCAAGTGAGTGAGCACTAGAAGGTCTTATTTCTAGCTCTCCTTCTGCAATATCTCTTCAGGTTAGTCTACTCTTTTAGTTCTCAAACCTAAGAAATGTTTACCAACAGAATTCATGGTATTTTATTTTATGAAGAACTCTTAGTTGTGCATCATTTTGAGCATTTTATTTTACTTCAGGTTTATTTAGCAAAAAAAATGTCAATGTGCTGATGGGAACCAATGAGTTCCAGGATCGTTTTTTGTTTCAAACCTGCTTCTCCTACCATCCATCTCAGTTGCTGCTTCTTCTCATTTGTCTGATGTGATTAAGTTTAGGGGGATATTTTGAAACCATATTGGAGGGAGGAGGAGTAGATGCCAGCAGGCTCAAGTTCAGCAAATCATCTTTCACTTTGATTTTATTTAAAACCATGAACAGGAAGAGATCAGGTAAGATCTAAGATTTAGAGGAACACAGGAGATTCCTATTTTAAAAGCTTGTAGTTGAACATCTCTGCTACAGCCATGCCCTACTTTTGATTCTTCCATTAATGTTTAAATCCCTTTTCAACACTTTTAGAAAAGAGATCAGATGCAAGGTACTTAGTTCATTGTGCCTTCTAATGGCTGGGCATGTGAAGCTTATTTTCATGGCTAAGCAGTGGGCTGAGCTCTGTCTACTCTGGCTCTCTGTTTGCAAAATCTCCTTCCTTTTCTCAGCTCCTGGCCTATTTTAACCCTTCTTGTAGTAAAACATTATAGCCTGTGGTTTTGTCTTTAATAATTCATGCCTCCATCCCTTCCAGTGGTCTTTAAGCTCTGCAGTCTTGAGTTAGCATCAAGAGCTGAGTTTATTCAGAACTGACAAGGGAATTTTCAATTTCTTAAAAACCATTCCTTGTCAACAGTGGCAGCTAAATATTTCATGCACTCATGTCCCAGGGAGCCTCAGGGACCCGACAGAAAAGACCCTTCCAGCCACTGTAAATGATGAAAAACTGCTTCCCAAGCTGGTTTCTATTTTTTAATTAAACTTGTCTTCACTGTGTTTCTCCAGAACAGGAGTTGTTAATCTGCCCATCCCATCTAAAAATGGCTCCTGTCATTTTATGAAGGGAACAAAAGAGTCTTCAGCTGACACATGTTCATCTCAGAAGTGGTATACATAGAAGCTACATAACCTGGAAGTAAATAATTTTAACAGCCTGAATCCACAATGGTCTTGTGGTAACTGCCCCTCAAATTCAGATAAAGAAGAAACTATGCCTGTAAAATGAGAAACATAGTACAAGGTGGCCTTTAACCATCAAAATTTGCTTCTATAAAAGGCACAACAGCTTTTAAACTCGTAATTTCAGCTTGTTCATAAATTGGGGGCAGTGGGAACCAGTTGCAAAGAAGTAAGAATAATCTTTTTAAATTAGATGGAAAACCACGAACAGATTCCATATGGGAGCATGGAAATTATCTAGGTAGTTACAAAAAAGGAAACCCCATTGACATCTATTGTGGCTGAATAACAGTACTTAGCCCTCTAGCTATGATCTGTATTTTCATAGGAGAGGACAACATTCCTGCAGCCAGGCAAACAACAAGTGGCATAAAGGTTTCAAAGGACACCATCTCCAAACTGGCACAATATGAGGGGTTGGCCAGTGCCCTACAAAATCAAGTGCTGGGCTGTAACAGATTTCTCTTCGCCACCATTCAGAAATAAAGCAATCATCAAACTGAGATTTCTTTTTCACTGTTTCATTCTTTTTTTCTCTCCACCTTTAAGCAGCAGGACTTAAAAGCCCAGCACAATGGTAGCTGCAACCAATTTGCAATCTGATGCAATTCAAGATTCTTATTTTCCTGCTGTTGCTAATTTTGGCACTATGGCCTTCAATCAGTATTTCCTAGATGTTAATTTGATTCAGGTCTAAAATTGTTCTGGGCCAAATTAGGATGAGGGGAAGAAAGGAAAAAACCCTGTGGTTAGCTTAGATGTTATAATGGAGCATGGCATATAGTACTACTGAAATGGGTATTGCTGCTGGGTCTTTTTAGTTTAGAACAACTCGTTTCTTGAGAAATGAGCCTAACAAAACCTGTCTTCCCAGGAATCTGTGTCTTCCCACTGACTGGGAGCTCTGAAAGAAATTTCTTCTGTGTCTGGGACGTCTTTAAAATCTCACTCCGCAGAAATCTATGAGTTAGGTCAGTCAGGTGTTCGCTTCAATATTTCTTTTTGATTCTGTCATTTTTGTACCATAAAACATGTAGAAATGGAATTCTCCTTGATCCCTTACCTCCATGTCAGACCTGGGGAGGCACACAGCCAAGCAGACAGGATGAAGGCATAGGATTCTATTCTGTATAAACACAATCAGAACAGTGTCTTACCTGAGAAATGTCCATGACAGAGTCACAGCTGAGAGGCCGAGCAGATGTCAAGTCATTGGAACCCAACACAGTTGAGATGATCCCATTCTGATCAATCCGCCTGATCATAGTGCCATCCACAAAGTAAATCAGCCCAAACTTGTCCACGGTGATGCCTGGGGAGAAACAAAGCAACACAGTCAGAAAGTAAGGGTAACCCGACAATTACGAAATGAATAGAAGATGGTGTCTGGTTTGATTGTAATGAAAGAGTAAGACTGTTGGTTTGGTTGGGAGAAATACATTTTATGGCATCCATAAGGAATGAGATGAGAATTGGACATGTGGGAGTCCTAGTTATCAGGGGTTTTGAACTGGCACCCTTCTACGGAAGACACTTCCAATAATGGCACACGATGCAGTTCAGAAATCCCTGCTCACTTCTGGAAAAGAGCATGGCATGGCATTTGGAGAACTGCTGAAAGGAAATGATTTTCTAATAACTGCATGTCTTTCATGTTCGGAAACCTGGTTTTATTGCTTATAGTATGAATGTTGAGTCATGCACATGAAAATATTATACTGGTGAATCTTTCAAAAATTATGATGAAAAAGTCTGCAAAAGACCTATCAGGTCAATCAAATTCCAGGTGGATAAACGAGGAAGGATTTTCCCTAGGATAATCCTACTAATCTACAGTATTTCACCTGTTTCTGAACTCTGCCAGTGATTAATTTCATTGTCCAAACCTCCTCTGTAGACGTACTCCTGTCAGTGGATTTGATGTCTGCTGACAGCAGTTACAGGCTGCTTATTCTCGTTTCCTCAACTGCAGATATGAGCCATTTCACCTCCCCCTAAGCATCATTTCTCAAGTATTTGTTACGTTAGCACAACCTCCTTTAATCCTCTTCATCCTAGACCAGCTGCCCTCTGCATCTTCCATCAGAGGATTTCATAGTGCTTTACACTTACTAATTAGACCTTGTAGCAGTCTGTGAGTGTGATCATCCTAATTTTACATATCAGGAAAATAACAGATAAAGCAATTCTCACAAGGTCACAGAGAAAGTTCATGACTAAGGCAGGAATAAGAAGTTAAGGTCTCCATTCACCTCTCCTTTATGCTAGTATAAATTAAAAATAACTTCAGAGATACTAATAGAGTCATCCATCTCATCTACCCTACGGTGGCAGAATGCCACTCAGCATAATATTTGAGTGTCTTAAAGACACTAAAAGACTGTAAAGGAACAGAATAAGAATGTAGAAATCTGTAACATCCTTTTCTACGCAAGTGAAAATTCTGCTTAGAATATATGAATATCAGAATCTTCCTATTTGGTTTCTTTTGCTCACAGGGTAGCAATCACTTGGCAAAAAGCAGACATCTGCACTGTGCATCTAAGCAAGTATCTGGAGCCTTTCCAATCAGTGGAGAGAAAAATATACTTCAAGAGTGCAATTCATATCACCCTAAAGCACATATCCAGAAGAGATTATATTAATCCTCCTAGAAACACCTTTTCCTCCCCATTGACTATAAAAGGAGAGTACAGCAAATATCTGTAAAGGAAACATTTATATTGTAGGCAGATTAAATTACTGAGCTGAATCCTCACTAGAATGTTTTTTGGCTGTCATCATGGTGACAGAAATGATAGAAAATCTGTTTCAGATAGAAAGCTTTGAGAATGTTTGAGGAGCGATCAGATCTTGTGTTTCTCCAAAATGTTGTTTTGCAGCCAGATCCCCTTGTTTGAAATATTTATCCTCAGTCTCCATCCACTGTGAGCTCTGCTGCAAAGTACAGATGCAGCAGTTCACAGATCAGAAATTCTAGATTTTCATGGAGCAAGGACTAATCCTCTGATTGCTTTGGCAATTAAAATCATGGCCTTTAGCCAGCACCGTAACTCTTGCATGGGCTGGAAGCCATGGAGGTGGGTGATATATGGAAAAACATACCATATTTGGTTATATGGAAATCCACAGAAGATAATCTGGCCTGGCAGGAAAAACTCAGGGCTAAGCTATTGTTTGAGAGAAAGAACAAACTTCTCCATTGAGCTGAGTTAAAGGAAGCGATTCAGACATAGTAGCAACCTGTTGATTCAAAGTCAATTAGGAGTTAGGACACTGATGTTTCAGATCACTGATCTGAATGGGAGCTGTATGTTATTGCCAGGAGGTAAAACAAGGATTTGTGTTACTTCTTTGCAGCATCTCCCTGTCCGAAGGGCATCATTTTGACCCGGATTGGCTGTTTGACCATCAGAGCACTATGGTTTCAGAATAGCCCCTAGGGCAATGAGAAAAAAAATTACTTGCTGCTTTTAAGACGAAGATCATTAATTTTGGAGGAGATTATAGTGCAGGATTGCTGAGACAAGGGATGACAGGCCTGAATGACCTAAAAGATTGCTTCTAGCCCAACACTTTAATGCTTGTGTTTAATTCATGCAAAGATGGGACTGATCTTTGCAGGACCACGAAACAAGACCCTCAAAGAGCAGATGTTGCACATGTGAATTTTCCAGGGTGGTGAGGCACAAGCACAGGTTTCCCAGAGAAATTGCAGCTGCCCCATTCCTGGAAGTGTTCAAGGCCAGGTTGGACAGGGCTTTGAGCAACCTAGTCTAGTGGAAGGTGTCCCTGCCCATGGCAGGGGGGTTGGAACCAAGTGATCTTTTGGTCCCTTCCCACCCAAACCATACTACAATTTGATGAATGCCACGGTAGTGGCGGCCATTTATTCTCATTATGTAATATAAACACATCAGTTGTATCTTAGCACTTTGTCAAAGGCTTGCAGAGGGATCTGACGGTACAAGTATCAATATCTCACTGGCATCCATGGGTTTCTGGAAGCTGTCTTCACATGCCATGAGATGTGTCAGCACTGTGCCCTAGTTGGTGCCCTGTTCAATGAGTCATCCGGAATACTGGCACATGTCACCTGTCACTGGCGTCTGTTGTTGAAGGTTACTGCTCTTCTAATTATTTTGCCTGCCGAATGGCAAGTTCTTTAATGTTTGCTGGTATTTGCTTGACAACCAGGAACACAACTGAGCTCTTTAAGCAATATGGTAGACACGCTTTTATTGGAAGAGGCATGATAGAAGGTTTAGTTGATCTTAATTGGCTTTTGTCAAACACAAGAGTCTCTTACCCATTCCTTGGTTCACAGCAAGTATTTTTCAGGGTGCCTTTCCATTAGTCTGTGTGACAAGCCAAAAGCTAGTGAAGGGTGGCAGGCTGGATGATGCGATTTTAAATGAGGCAGAATTTTCTCCCTTAGCTAGTTCCATATGTATTGGATTGGATTTATCAGCAACATATGCTGACAGTCACTCACTGTGTGCAATGTTGGGGTTTGATGGCTGGTCTGATTACCCAGTTATAGTAATAATAACCTGGATGAACTTTGGCTCTCAAGACAGTTCTGATCAGCTGATATAGCACAACTTTATTTTGCATTCCAGCTTAGACAAAGAGCTTGCACACCTGAATTAGTTGAGGTGGGATAGCAAAGTTACCACTTATCACCCTGCTCCAGGGCAATGGCATGTGTATGCGTTCTTATCACAGAACACTTCTCTGCCTATCCCTCTTTCACAGAGGCTAAGCAATCTCAATTTCCTCACATTTCCTGAGATGTTCTGCAGGGCAGTAAAGTCTGCAGCCTGCCAAAGCCCCAGATTCTCACTTGCACATGCTCCTCATATGGCAACTGCTCCAATCCCTTCCTGACTCTGATTGTTTTGGAATCAAAACTAATTATGGAGAAGAACCCTGCTGTCCCACTGACAAGTGTCTTTGGATGGATGACTTCTACAAAGAGGAAAGAAGCATCTCATGGTTTCTTCGCAGCAGATTGTAGAGGTTAGATTGGACCTTCTGCATTTCCTTTCTGATAATGGCAGAGCTCCAGTGCTGGGAGCTGGCTCCTACAAATGGGCACAAAAATGGGTATTTCACATGTTATGTATGTTAAGCCAAAGGCCTTGGCTTGCTTTGGCAGAAGACTCCTCTCATGTTTCCATAGGAACATAAGGGAATTAAAGACTTTCAGCATATAGCTTGAAGTTCAGCCTCAAAGTTAGAGAGGAAACATCTGCTGCCACTACCCAGGTAGTGTTGCAGATCCAATCTCTAAGCTCTGAGATATGAAATGCACACGTGATGAAATCTTGCTGGCTTCTCTTGGATAGGCAGGGATCTCTTAAGAAACAGGGGCTTGTAGCATCACATGCATCACACCAGTGAGTTATGCTGATAGAAAGTTGTAGCATGATGACATTTGCTTGAAATGTCAGGACCATGTAGTGTAAGGAGGTGACAACACAACATTATGCTGCAAATAGCTACTGGGCCATGGTGAGTTTGTTCTAGAAGACAAACCACTAAAAGTTATTGCATTGTGTATGTAGCTTTAGTTAAGAAAAAAAGGGAAAAAACCCTTTTAACTAAAAAAATGGTGCTAAAGAAATCTAAATTTGGAGCTTTCTTCTCTGGCTGGATGCTGAATGACTGAATGATAAAAGGCAGATGAAAATCAGTGCTAATATGTACAGATGAATTCACAGGGGAAGGAGAAAATCTAACTACCCATATGCAGTGACAATCTGAAAAAGAGCTCACAGGTAAAAGATTGGAATTACTGCAAAAGGATTTCTGCACAGATGAGCTTTGTGCTCTGCAGTGATCAAGGAAGGAGCTAGAAGACAGCAAAGAATTAGGAAAGGCACAGAGAGAACAGAAAACACTGGTCTGGCCTCAAGAAGACCACACTTTTTCATGACCTGACTAAAGAAATTGTGGAAATTGTTAGCACAGGGTGCCTGGAAAAATAAAAACTAGCTGTTCAGGGAGGTTTCTAAGGCAATTGATGGTGGCATCTAAATGTAGCTCCAGGTGCGACTTCTTCAGAAAGACCCCTGTTGATAACTAGCATCTGGAGTGTTAGCACAGAAAAACCACTCTAGCATTGCCCCTTACCCTATGTGCCTTTTCTGGCCACAGTAAGAGACTAGATATTTTGTTCAATCACCCTCTGGTCTTTCCTGAAATGATCCTTCTATTATTATCTGACAATAAAAATGTTAACAGATTGTGGAGTCTTGAGTTTCTTCATTTAATTCTGTCAAACTCTTGAACACTTAGTAGCACAGAAAAACCACTCTAGCATTGCCCCTTACCCTATGTGCCTTTTCTGGCCACAGTAAGAGACTAGATATTTTGTTCAATCACCCTCTGGTCTTTCCTGAAATGATCCTTCTATTATTATCTGACAATAAAAATGTTAACAGATTGTGGAGTCTTGAGTTTCTTCATTTAATTCTGTCAAACTCTTGAACACTTAGTGCTGAGATTTT